TACTTTCATTAATGTTGTTGTAAGCTACTGTCATTACCTGCATCTCTCTCTCTCTGTCTCTCTCTCTCTCTCTGTCTGTCTCATTGTGTCATATGGATTACTGTTAATTTATTATGCTGATCTGTTCTGTACGACATCTATTGCACGTCTGTCCGTCCTGGAAGAGGGATCCCTCCTCAGTTGCTCTTCCTGAGGTTTCTACCGTTTTTTTCCCCGTTAAAGGGGGTTTTTTTTGGGGAGTTTTTCCTTATCCGCTGTGAGGGTCTTAAGGACAGAGGGATGTCGTATGCTGTAAAGCCCTGTGAGGCAAATTGTGATTTGTGATATTGGGCTTTATAAATAAAATTGATTGATTGATTGATTGATATACAGAGGGTTCGACTCTGGCTCGCGACCATTTGCTGCATGTCCTCCCCCCACTCTCTCTCACTCCCCCATGTCACACTCTTATTCAACATTATTATGTCTCTGTCATAGTCTTTTTTCCATCTCCATTGTTTTGTGCAGTGATTCATAGTTGTAAGTTTCATTTTTGTGTGTATCTTCTGTTTTTATGCTGCTCCTTTAATTGCCTTTCTTGCCTTTTCTACAAAGCTGAATTTGAGAATTATGCAAATGAAACTCAATTCTACCTGTACTGTCCTGCAGCTGCACAAATGGCAATAAATCAATCAACCAATCTATCTATGTAAGATGCTACAGTGGCCTGTATGGCTTACTGTGGGAATGTTCTGGTGGACAGACTGAGACAGTACCTGCTTGAGGTGGTCCACTTTGAGAGGCAGCTTCTGCAGTGTGAGCAGGATGAGCTGCAGCAGGGGGGTGTTGTTGGTACTTTTGGAGTAGGTGAGCCAGGAGTTGAGCATCCTGTAACCACCAACTCTGATAAACCTGGATGAAGGAGGGAACAACATATTCATAACAAAGGACTGAGATGGTCACTAATTACACTTGCAGATCAATTAGAATATGGTAATGATTGCTGAGATTATTATAAGTAGTTATTTTCAGAGTAGATGTTGTATTGATTCCCTTACATAATGCTGCTGGTGGTACTCTGTGACTGAGTCTCTCACTACTTTGGCAGATTTACATTCGCTATACTGAGTATTTCTGTCAGGATGTGGGACTGAGTCAAAATGATCTACAGTGTGTGCAGTTTGACGGCACTGAGGAAGAAGATTTACCAGGCTTTGGATAAAAAAAAAAACACAATACTTGTTTGTAGGATACATTCACTGTTGGATTAAGTATGTCTGTGTGGTTTGTTGATAGAGATCTGCTACAGAGTGCAATAAGCTGTATGTTCTCAAGGAAGATGAAAAAGCAAATTACAAAGTTTCTTTAAGGTTTCTTGTTAATTATCTTTATATTATCCCATGATTTATGGTAATATTGTTTGGGCAAATACATACCCTTCAAATCTGCATAAACTTTACTTGCTGCAATAATGATTTATAAGATTGGCAACTTTCCGATTTTAATGAGGCCTTTGTTTCACTGATCACGAAACTAATGAATAACCTTCTTTTAGTATATGATATAAATATTCATCAGATATGAGTGTCTATATATAAATACATGTTCTCGTTCTCATCTTCCTCTCTACCATCATCCCTTAGCAAATTCTTTAAATTTCGCTGATCAAATTCGTTCATATAATACCAGAAAGGTTAATCACCTCGACCGTCCTTTTTACAAACTGAAACATGGCCAGTACTCCCTCGGATATTGTAGTATGCACATTTCGAACACCAAAGTACATGATGTCAGGAGCCCTTTATCCTTACAACATTTTAAAAAGATATTATCATTACATTTAATTCATGATGTCTAATTATCTCTTAACTTGTATATTAACACATTTCCCCCCTTTTTCCTCTGCATTGTGTTCTATTTATTTCTTGATTTTTATTGGATTATTTTCTACTGACTGCTCAGGGTGCTTCATGTCATTTACCATTTGCTTATTTTGTATAATGTTAGTTTAGTTCTTTTGTCTACTTTTCTCCCCTTTTTTGTCATAGTCTGTTTTTCTCCTGAAGTTGAGGGGAGGTCCGTTTGTATAAGCCTGTGGCTTCTTGACCTCTCCTAACACAATTCCTTTCTTTTTTATCATCAGAAAACACCATAATGTGAAACTGTGTTAAGAGAACAAACAGAGCTTTAACTTGATATTGACTCAAGAAACATTTACTTACAATGTGGTATGGTTCCAGCCCTACTTATGATTCATTTATGCACTTGATTGTTTTTGTGGTTTTTTTTAGTTTGAACACTTCTCTATTTTTGTAAATTGCTTTTAAAAGAGCAGTATTCTTTTGTATAGTGTATGTTTATTTCATCCTCATTTCACTACAGTTTTGAATTTTACAAGAGTGGACTTTGAAACTCTAAAAAAAAAGCTAGTAAGTAAACCTTGAGTTGAGCTTAAATTTGAGTTAACTACGTTTTTGTTAGTCTACAGTTTTTACAGTTGAATGGAATGCCTTCATACTTTGATCCATACCAGTTTTAATATTAATTAAGAACAAGATTTGCAGTATATAGTGTTGACAGTAGAGTTAGGTCCCACCTGTTAAGCACATCATGGGATTTTGTCTGCAGGAGGATGTTCAGGTACATACATCTACTGACCATCTTGGTTGAACCTTTCATCAGGCTGCATTGAAAAGAGCAAAGGTGTTACAATATCACCTAGTGTAAGAGTTAGGATTCAGTTAATCAGTTAAAGGTCATGTCACGTCCAGGAGCAGTTCCTCACCTAAACACCTTTGGGACTCCCTCCAGGCTGCGGAGCTCTCCATCCTTCCCCAGCAGAGCCTCCACACCCTTCAAAATCTCTCTGGGGTCCACTGGTTCCCCTGCCATGTCTGAAATACACACCTCAAAATATTAATACACATGCCAACAGGACACAGGTGTATTATATTTTCTGGTATGTACAAGAATCATTTGGACTTTGAGGAGGTATTACAATGCTCTTTAGTAGGGACTTTTTACCTGCCAAAAAGGAAAGCTCCATGCTACAGAATTCCACCCAAACTATCTTAAGGTATCAAACCTCAACTACTTCAACCTGTTTTGTTCCAAAAATGTCCCATCAAGACTCTAAGCTGCTTAACATCAATCACACAAAAATCTAAAGTGCATCAGGCCAACAAGGTCAGAGTACAGACGGATTCGCCCCACCACTGACCACCATCCATAATTATCTCACTTCAATGATCCAGTGGGCAACTACACCAGCCTGTCTGTGTAAAGGACATTCCGTCAACATCTTGGTCCAAAGAACCGACACACAACACCCAAATCAGATCAACACCTGGAACTTGCCAACAAGGACTCGTCAGATGTACTGAGTTTGATCAGCAGCATATTCTCTTACAAAGCAAGTCACAGCAGTGATTCAGGAGCACACCACTCTCACCTACTATCCAGTTAATGATTGGTATATCAGGCTTTGAAAAAATAAGTAACGTTAATCTGGATTGATGATTGGGCTGACATGTACACACACAAATCAGCAGCCCCAGACAGTTGCTCCCTGCCACACAGAACTCAGTTGCTCTGGCAGTCAAACATCCACAATGCAGGAAGACTTCCATGTGCTGGCTCATACTCAGGATTCTTGGAGTGCTTCACGGGGCCAACTTGACACCAGCTTAGCAGGGGCAAGTGACAAATGCTGTAACTTATTCCAAGTGCCTCCAGAATGTGTCCTCTATGGGACTTTGCTCAGAACATTTAGACTGACAGAATATTAATTATAGAGTGAGGGGCATTACAGACTGATTGAAATAGCAGCAGTAATGCTGAGAACTAAACTGCACATTATTAAATAGCAAACAAAATTAAACACATTCACTATTAATTGACTTATTTTTATTTACCTAAATTTTCTTTACTGAAAGATTTCGCTGATCATATAAGACCTAACTATTAATATATATTAAGTAGCTAGAATGTTTTTTTTCACAAATATACATATTATCTCCATATGTAACAAACACAAAACAAAGGGTCAAAGTTCTGTTCAAGTGAAAAAAAAAAAGCCGAAGAGATTAATTTTTGAAAGAAATGTTACTGGTAATGATTCATCAAATTTTTAATGCCACACGCCTATCACAATCATTCACATTTATGCAAAAATGCAACTTAAACAAGGAGAATAGTAACAGAAGCATCAATAGTGCCTTGTAAAACCCCATTTTTACAATTTAATGATTAAATAAATGGTACAAATTAAAATGATATGCACCAATTAAGTTAAGTGTGATTGGAGGTATTCGTATCAATTATGAAATGCTTGAAAACTGTAGCATTAGTCTGATAAATACTCAGTGGTGACTCAGACTACAGTGGTGTTAATGACATCACTATCGACTGTTCCAGCCAGGGGTAGATATCAGGGCACTTACTGCCGCCTACAGGTCACTTTATGTTTACACACTGGCACTGTTCTGTCTATGTAGTTACACAATGGAAAAATGCATTACAAATTAATAAAACTGTTAGTGCAACATCCAATAACATTGGTCATAACTGTCACACATTAATCTGACAGTAAAACAAACTCATGAATGAAAGGCGTTTAATGTTTAATAATTTCCATCAGTCTAAGTACTAACTATGAAAAAAAATCAATGATCCAGACAGTCAGTTGGCCATTATGAATGTCTTCAATTTTATGAATCTAAAAAATGTTCATGACAAAAGGTGTTATTAATAGCCTAACCTGTAAATGGTTCCTGATAAAACTGCTTGGGTTGACTCTTATAAGCATGCACATATTTTTCTATGTTATATATTTTATGATGAAACTGTTTTCGTGCCAATTTATCAACTCAAGTACACAACCGGCAACCCTGTTGGAAATCAATTCATTGGAAATGTCATGATGTGAGGAATCAGTTAGGTCTTACCCGTGTAACTGTTGTAGTAGAAGTTTTATAAAGTCTCAGACCTCCACAACACTGCAAATAACCCAATTCCTGTAAATGTCACAATTGTTACACATATACACAAAATCAGTGTTAAAACATGCCCCTGGTTCCTGGTTCAGTGGGGGAAAGAACATTATTTGTGCATTGTCATTCTGTGTATCACTGATACATTATTGTAAAACAAAATAGGAATGTACTCAATGACCAAGCATTCTACTACATAGATATATACATATACATGTATATGTATGTATGTATATGTATATGTGT